TTTGTCAAGTATAAACTTTTATCTAACAACTTCATCTCTTAACCGATTCGAGATCTAATTACAGCTGCGGCTATTGAGGATTCCCTCTTGTTTATGAAATATTTGGCCTCTTTGTATTAGGTTGTCAAGAAATTAATGTCGCATTTTGGAACACTTTCATTAACCACCCCCCAAAAACGTACATCAAGTATAATAGTTAAATGAACTGCCTAAACGTCACGTAAAGTTTAGTATACTCTAATCCCTTATAGTGATGTTTCACTACGAGACACATTCGGCATGTAATTTCGTTCAGGTGACTTTAGCCTTAAAAATTGTGATGATTAGATATAGATAAAAGTATAGTGTAACAACAAAGTAGAAAAGTAGTTTTGATGATATGCTAAACTGTTATTACTGTAATGATAGAAGTATAAGAATTAAAATTGGTTAGCTTAGACCACTGTAAGCCGCAACCTGATTAAAATTAAAAAAATTAGACGATTTTGACGACTGGAATTTCTTTACATCACAGGATATAGTGGGTTTGAGTAGGTTCAAAGGAGCTGATAACAATTATATCAGTAGTTTTAGGTGTATCAGTCTTACATCATTGTACGAAAATGTTATCGAAAGTCTAGTAAAATATGATTTGCAAGGTAATTTAACAAAATTTTGTTGGATAGTCAGCATGGTTTCATTAAGGCAAAATGCACCTTTCTGATCTTTTGAGATTCTTTGAAGAGGTTACTACTTATTTAGATGAGGGTATGGGTGTGTATTTGGTGTCTATATTGTTACGTCTCTGCTCGTTTGATAATTTCCGGTAGAAATTCTTCCCGAGAAACTTCAGCGATACAAGTCCTTTCTTAAATAAAACTAGTTTATTCTTTCTCAATACAACTTTGCAATACAATTAATTTCCACAATCAGTTTAACTTAAACACACGCTATAATTCACAATGAACGATTCATGCACTTTGCTTACTACCGTGCTTGACTCAATTGTCGGTCTCTATCTCTGCCTGTCTGCAATTCTATTCCGATTCATTGTCTGGTGCACTTATATACAAGAATAGAGGGCGCCTAGCAAATACTGGATTTTTCGTGATGTTCCCTGATCTTTCTAGAACTCATTACATGTTACCAGCATCACGGGACTTCTGCTGTCGTAACACTGCCCCTTCCTTAGTATTGTTCGTCCCAAACAATAGCCACTTACATTAAACCAATAGAAAATTAACAATAACTTAATTAAATGGACAGAACTTACAAACACAAAATTAAAATTCAATAAAGTCTCTTAATTTTACAGGACGTATCTTCTTCCGTACTGGTCTTAATCTCGTTGGCTTCTACTTTACGTGGGGTTCATCTGCTCCATCAGGAAATGTCCTATTATTGGTAACAGTCACATCAGTGGTAGTAACTTCATCAAGGGCTTCGCCGTTTCCCTTCTCAAAACCGAGTAGAGTTTCGTCTTCGACAGTGGCTTTTCCAGGTGACATGTTTTCAGCGGTATCTTTTATTCCATTGATCACTTCGTCCCAACTGAAATGTCCTGGACCATGATAATGCCAAAGCCTGTTGGCATGCACCACCTTTAGTTTACCTCGCCGACCACATTTGATTCGGAAAGTCACGTCTGAGAGACGATCCACTACATCATATGTGCCTTCCCATAGAGAAGACAACTTTGGAGACTTCCCTTTGGTCTTCCTGGGATTATACAACCACACCTTCCTCCTGGTATAAAGCTGACTTCAGTAGACTTCTTATAATACATAGCTTCATTGAATCAGCAGACGTTTTCAAGTTTGAATGCACTTGATGGTGAATATCACCCATCCTTTCTGATAACACTTTCACGAATTCTAACACATTTTCAGGCAACTCTTCATAAGGTGGGCATCCTGTTAACAGATCCACTGGCAACCGAAGTTCCCGACCAAACGTCGACTTTGCTGGAGTGTATCCAGTGGTTTCATGCTCTGCTGTCCTATAGGCCATCAACATTGGAGGGAGTAAGACATCTCAGTCATCTTGGCGGCCATTACAAAACTTTGCCAATTCCTGTCCCAGTGTCCATTTGTACTTTTCTACCATCCCATCAGACTGTGGGTGAATGGCGTTGTCCTGGTCTTTCGGATGCCAAACAACTTGCAACATTCTTGGAACACAGCTGATTCGAAGTTACGGCCTTGATCTGAATGCAGTTCGTATGGCATACCAAATCTGAAAAAGAAATCACTAATAGCTGAAGCTACAGTTGTATCTTCCTGATTTGGTATTGCATATACCTCAGGCCACTTAGTGAAATAATCCATCACCACACAAATGTACTTGTTTCCTGCACGAGTTTGGGGCAAAGGACCAGCAATGTCAATGGCTACACTTTCCATTGGTGCACCAACTTGATATAACTTCATTGGAGCACATCCCTTATGCTTGGGTCCCCTTTTAGCACAACATGTACTGCATGTCCTGCAGTATTCTTCCACATCTTGCCTCATACCTATCCAGTAAAATCTCTGTCGTAAGTGACTCCTAGATGTCCTGTTAAACTATCATGGGATTCATGAAGCACAACTTCCCATAACTTTCTCGGTATAACCGTTTGCCAGGTCGTCACTTTCTCATGTGCAGTTTCCCATGTTTGGAGAAGAGTACAATCTTCAAGCTTCAACTGGTCCCAGTGTGCCCAATAGTTCTTTGTCA